CCCGGGGGGGGGGGGGGGGGGGGCTGATGCTCTGGGGAAGTCCCCCAACTCCAGACGCCTATAGTCAGTCCCTCCTCAGCCCCAGCTTCTTGCCCTGTTCTGGGATAATGGCCACCCCCACTCCCCAAAACACACATGGAAGATTCTCTTGGGGATGCCAAGCGGCATGAGGTAAGCCGAAGCCAAGATCCAGAGCAGTGAGGAACAAGAGGAGAGACATCTTTCCTTTCCCCACTCCAGGCCTTCCCCTGCCCCTGGCTCTCAGTGGCCCCAGTCCCAGGTCCCTCCTCTGGGTCTCCTCTGAGGCCACAGACCCTTGGGGCAGCTGTTCCCTCCTACTGCAGGTTGCACACTCCTCTTTCCACAGACCGAAGATAAGATCTACCACCCCATCTCGGAAAGCCTCCAAAGGCGAGATTAATTGGACAGCCCAACACAAGTCGTGTCTTTAAAACAACAGCCCAGGTTGTAAAGTTAAGTAGCAGAAGGAGTGTAATTACTCTCTCAGCCAGGGGCCTGCTGAGCTGACAGCATCTCCCCCCACCCCTGTCTGCCCTTTTCAGGGGAGTCTCTTTTCCATTTGGGAGCTGGTCTAGTTCTCCTAGGCTTCAGGGAGGTTCCCCTGGAAGCTCCATGGAGGAGATGCCCCCTTCCCTTCCCCCAAGCTATCCAGTTTCTTCCCATGAGGAAGCCCTACTGGGAAAGTTGGGTCAATAAGGGAGGGGGAACAAGACTGGATGGCTAAGAACAGGGCCTTTGACCTCCAAAGAGTTGCAACTTTGCCACCTGCAAGCTGTGTGACTTTTGGCAAGTTGCTTCGCCTCTCTCTGAGCCTCATCCCCCCCCACACACACCCTCAAGACCGGAACACTAATAGGACTTGCTCGGCTGTGTGGTTATGATGACAAAATGAGATAGTGTTTGTAACATGCTTGACACGGTGCCTGGAACACAGTAAGCTCTTCATAAATGGCATTTCCAACTGCTGTTATGATTATCGGGGAGGGAGGGGGGAGGAGGGTGAATTCCTCTGCCATCCATTCCCTATCTGCCTCTGGCTGACCTGCCTCCTGTGAGGGGTGGGGGGTAGAGAGGATGGGGATAGAGAAATCAACACAGCCTTGGTCCTCACCATCTGAGAGCGGGACACAGACAAGGTCCCCGATGCAAACGATGGTGCATCTGAAATCGGGACACAGGAAAACAGTGCCAGGAAAATGTCCAGGGCACATGTCATCATCTTTGAGGGGCTCAACCATGGGACGCTGACTTGGGGCTTCCCTTCTCTCTGGGTCACTTGCCTTCCCTATCCTATTTTAAGACATGCCTCCGTGCTCTCCCCAGCAAAATGAGATTTAATTAATTCAATTAAAGCAATTTTGGGAGCAGCTCCTGAAGGCTTTCAATGTGAGATAATTACAAGTAATTTGCTGCCGTGAAGAGGAAGAGGGCACGAGGGGTCTGGGGGGAAAGGAGTTCTCCCCCTCCTCACCAAATGCACACAGATCTTGAGGGATTCCACACCGCAATCTTAACAGCCCTCCCATTGGCCAAATTACTTGCAGGTGGGAAGGGGGAGAATGGGATGGGGGCGAGGGGGAAGACACCGAGTGACAGGCCGCCCCTCCTCCACCCCCAAATCCGAGGTGGGGGTGGGGAGCTGGTTGTTCCCCCGACAAAATGTCTGCATAGCTGTGGCAGCCAATTCACTCAGCTCCAAACCCCATTTGAGTGTGGATGCCTGGACTTGCCTCTGGGATTGTATCCAGAGAGTCAGTGGAATGTTATCTGGGTAGCTAAGGCCTGTGTAGACGGGGACTTGGAGATCAAGGACCTCCCCAAAATGTATAAGGGAAGTGGGTAGAGAGGGGAAAAGCCAGAGGAGGAGGACAATGACTTTCTGCTTCTGAGGAGCCGATGAGAGACCCGTTCCTCTCCTCCCCTGCCCCAACGCTGCCTGGTTTCTGCCTGGTGTCTAATCTCTACTCCCTTCATTGTAGTGGTGGCAAATCTCCTCTCAGCTTTCTGTCCTGGGGGCTCTGAAGCCTCTTTCTTCCAGAAAAGCATCCTACAGGTATTTCCCACCCACCTTCCCCTGGGATAACCCTTTCCTTCCCAGGCTCTTTGACCAGGAGGAGGCAGGAGGAGCCAGATGGAGTTGACTAGGAGCTAGAGGCAGAAGCTAGGAGGCAGGCTGAGGCAAAGGTGTGGGACGGGCCTCGCCCTACCATGATCCTCTCCATCCTGTCCACAAAGGAGCTGGTTTCAGAACTAGGGTCCTCTTGACCTGGGTGCCCGTGTTCTAGGAGGTGAGTGAGCTTTCAGCATTTATGGTCGAAAAGAAAAAGTCACCAACCCCCAAGTATTTGGCTTTCACATCTTCCTCTCTCGTTCCAAGGCTCTCTGTGCACCGCCCCTTCTCTGAGCACGTATCTGCTGTACTTGGGGGTGGGGAGAAACTCCATCAGTGAGTCCTTGGGTGACAGCTGTCTCTCTTCTTAGATGAAAAGGCCTAGAGAGAGACAAGCGGCCACCTCTCCAGACCTCTTCTTCCCCCATTCCTAGCCTGCACAGATGGGTTAAAGGAGAGGAATAAAAGACGCTTCTACCCCAAAACTTAAAATGCAAAGGTTGTTTTTTTTTTTTTTTTTTTTTTGTCAGGTTCTCATTCTAATGCCCAGGCTGGAGTGCAGTGGCACGATTATGGTTCACCACAGCCTCAACCTCCTGGGCTCAGGCAATCCTCCGAACTCAGTCTCCTGAGTAGCTGGGACTCCAGGCATGTGCCACCACACCTAATTTTTTTTTTTTTTTTCAGAGACAAAGTCTCACTATGTTGTCTAGGTTGGTCTTGAACTCCTAGGCTCAAGCAATCCTCTCACCTCGGTCTCCCAAAGTACTGGGATGACGGGTGTGAGTCACCTCGCTCAGCCAGAAAGTTTCATTTTAATGCTCCAGATAAATGCTCAGAGATAGCCAGACCCAGGGAGCCAGGCATATACGTGCACACACATTTCCACAAAGAAATGCACACATAGACAGGCGGATACACACAACAGATGTGGGGAGCAGGCAGAGTCGTACACAGGGACACACATATGCATGAAGCATTCCTGGGCTGTACACGGACATACACAGAGAAAGCATGCACAACTGACAGCCTCACAGGCAGAAGCACGACACAGAGGGATACCCCGAGAAGGAGCTACCCAGGGTCTCAGCCATAGGCAGAAACACACACACATACACAGAAATATATGGACAGCATCCCTGTGTGTGAGTGCACGTGGGTGTGTGTATAGGATAGGGGAATTCTCTTTTTTCTTTCTCTCTTCTCCCGCCCCCTTCTCTTCCCTTCCCCTT